AGTCGTTGATAAATCTTTAAAAAGTATAAATGTCTGAGATGGCTATCTAAATAACTATGCCTTACATAACTAAATGCAAGTGTGTGATACTAATTTGACTCGACTATCAACCATTCATGTAATAATTTCTGACCTGGTCTAATTACTACATCAATAATAAATACCCCTCAATCCCACCTGATATTAAGAATAAGTATCTGTTTTTCCAACATTGTACAACCCTTCTGCAAACAATGTATACCAATAGCTAGAATATAATCTATTTCTACACAAATCACTCTCAGGAGACAAGCATATCAAAAAGATTGTAAAAATATGCACTTGCAAGAAAAATTTACATAAATCATTTGTTTTACTATTAAAAATCATATAAAATCACATCTTAAAGATATCTTCTTTCTGGTTAAGTTCAACAAACAAGAAGTCAATAACAACACTAAAAACAATCATTACCTAGCAGCTACTTACAAGAATGATATGGTTCAACATTCAAACACACATTAATAAGTTAATTTCTTCATATTACTATTCATTCATTAATCACTCTCATTATTCATATATTTATCTGATCACTCGCTCACTTATTTGCCAATCATTTTTTCCATCCTTTTACATGTATGCAATCATTCTATTATTCAATCATCCCCTTATTCAATAATCATTCAAATCTTATATTTACTGATGATTCAATTGTTTTACCATTTAGTTTATCATTTATCCGTTGATTCTTCCATCTCTCTCTGCACTCATACATCAAAAAGAGTTCCTTTGGTTCCTTTGATGATAATCATTCAGGACAAAGTTACACAATGCAACATCTATGACGCTCTATATGTTGAATACAGAACTGTCAAATAAAAGCCAAATAAAGCATTATCCAGAAGAGGAAGTTTAATAAGTAGCACATCAAAGAAGATTCTGTAATTTCTACTGTATCTTAACATGAAAACAATACAAGCTGTGGTTACCAATAACATGTAGTGCCAAAATGTTGCATGGTGTATGTTACTAAAAGCCTAAGACTAATGCTAAACAACTGATTCATGTTGCAATGGAAGGCTGTTTGGATCCAGAATTGTGCATGGGGTGGAGTTTGACACTCTCTTRCGGATATCACTTACATCATCTGAACAGCATTTTTGTGCAGCACAGTTTTCCATTTCACCACAGGCCAAGACACATTCTTTGTCTTGCTTTACTGTGTGAATTTCTTCCACAAACTCAGGCTGAATTGTGGTGGAATGAATCCCTTCGTTGTGGAAGAATCTCTTAATCTGATTGGCGATCTTCATATAGTCATCTGGGGTTTGACATGTGATATGTGCTGATGCTATTGAACGAAATCAAAGTCATTGAGATATTCGTGGAAATCACTACAAACAGCCATGAATCAAAGAGGTTCACAATGTGGTACATGTACATCAATGAGTTATTAGGCAGCTACAGTTATATAAGGCAGCTGAAATAATATATATATACATATACATATAACATGTACACTATTCTCCTAACAGCCATGAATCAAAAGCAGGTTCACAATGTGGTACATGTACATCAATGGATTAAAAGGCAGCTACATGTACAGTAATATAAGGCAGCTGAATATGGATATATAACATGTACACTATTCTTACCAATGATTTTATCCCCTGCAAGTTGCCACACATGAAATTCATGTACACTAAGRATACCRTTGACYCCTTCCAACAGTCTCTCTTGCACCTCTTTGATCTTGATATGKGTGGGTACAGTTTGTAGAAGGATCAATGAAGATTCTTTCATCAGTGGTATGGACGTACGTAGAATCAGACATGTCATAAATATACTCATGACMGGRTCAACGTACAGTGTCCATTTACCCTTAGCGAACATTATGATAAGTGCGCTTATTATGACAATAACTGAYCCTAAGGCATCACCAAGTACATGGAGATACACTGCTCTCATGTTAAGCTGAGCACTGGATTTGACTTTCTGATTTGACCTGGAGTGGACTTGAAGGCTGCCATTTTCATTGACGTTTTCAAGGATTTCTCCATTTTCTTTGGGAAGGAAAGCTGCAACAGCAACAAGGAATGAATAAGGAATAYATTTTGTGAACTTATTGTGTGGAGACAATCAAAAAAATTATCATTTCTGTAGAATAATATATGTGGTATCATAAAATCTCTTGAT